CATAGTGATCGTGTTGCTACTCTAAGTGTGCTGAGCCCACTCCTGTTCTTTGCTGTGTTAATGGCATGGTTAATACCCTCACTGCTTCAAAGCTTCAGTCAAATGTCAAATATCGGTGATTTTCCCAATCATTGGTTTTCAGCACTGGGGATTAAACTCAGGGCCTTTGCACTGAGACACTCGCCTACCTGAGGAAGAGCCCAGTGCAAGTTCCAGCCCAGGGTCCAGGCTGCCCCATTCTGAGGCAATGAGAGGATCAAGGCTCCGGTACTGCAAGCTCAGCTGGCTGCAGCGCAGTTGGGGACACCCTGTCTCAGAAGGCCACACTCTTAGTAGGTGCTCAGAAAGTATTTCTTGGTGGACTGATGGATTTCACAGGATTTACTTGGTTCTAATTCTCTCTGCAGCTTTATGGCAGTGTGTGTATCTGTCACTCATACTTGTAAAAGGAAAAGAGAGACTCAAAGATCTTTATTATGGAGTCAGAAGTAAAAATGTCATTCAGTGATGGTGAACGCACAGCGGTTAACTCAGAATTAAGTATTGTCCCACACATGAAGCACGCTGCAGGCTGTATTGTGAGGAGTGGTGTTTCAACGTGTGTTGCTTGACTTATGAACATGTCTGTTTAGCATGATATTTCCATGGAAAAATCTAAATGCATGAGCAGTCAAAAAGACTCAAAGTGCTTAATCATACGGAATGGATACTGGGAGTCCCAATTGCATGGGTATCTTACTGAATTGCTTATAATTTTTTTTTTTTTTTTTTTTTTTTTACTTTGAGCATGTTGATTTGGAAAGAGTATTATACTCACTTAAAAAAATTTATTTATTTATTTTTATTTTTTGTAATTAGGACAGGGTATACAGGGTGTGTAGGGTCTCACTAAGTACATTGAGCACCTAGTGATCCTCCTGTTTGCAGCCTCCCAAGTGCTGGGATTACAGGTGTGTGCCACCACACCCAGTCTCAATCACTGTCTCAGCATGCCTCAAGGGTGGGGCCTGCATGGCTTGTGGTGCCGGAGATTGAACCCTAGCCCCTGCACTCTACCTAAGCAGGCTGTTCAGTCTGCTGAGCTCTCAGGCTGGCCCTCGATAAAAAATGTATGTGTGAAAGAAGTTCTATGTTAGATATTTAGCATCAGCCATACCAAGCAGATAGATAACTTTGCTGTAATTCACCAAACATTTAGCATTCGCAGCTGCTTTCTAATAGTACCATGACAGCAACATGAGCATTTTGTTCAGTATTTCTCCTGTGAGAAATTTCCTAAGATACATCAAGCATATGTAACCTTTGTTTTCAACTTAATTTTAGTGCTTTTACATTTCTAACAAAAAAATCTTTCAGCCAACTCTTATAAACAGATATTAATAGAAGGCTGGTGTTAACTTTATAGTCAACTTTAATTTGAGAATGGAATTAAATATTAGCTCTCAAATACTTATTTACCTAGTGTGAGATCGATACTGGAACACCAGCTTCAACTAAATATCTATCCTCTCGAAAGTGCTGTTCAACTTAACTTTTTGCAAATTGAATCTTATTTTATTAACAAGAACTTTAAAAAATTAACTCTTAATGGCCTCTTATTGTGAATTGCTTGTATAGTGAATAGGCAATTTGTTTTCTCCTTAATTTCAGAAAACTATGCATTGTCTTTGTGTATGTGTATCTGAATGGATTTAAAAATATTGATGTCCATTTTTTCAAAAATTAAAAATAGCCAGTTAAGTAGTTATACTTAATTTCAATATTAGTAGCACCAGAGGAAAAATAAAGTACAAAAATTTTAAGAATTAAAGTTTGCCTTTTCATTTTCGAAATCCTGTGGTAGGAAAATATACTTAGAGAAAATGGCATTTTTCCATCTCACCCCTGGCTGCCAGCCTCACTCTTTTTTCGCCTGGGACATGAGCTCCTCCTCATAAAGCGCCTGGTAGGAAAGTGTAGATCACTTTTCATTTAATGATGATTAGTGCTGTCTTAAAATTTTGGGAAGTTTGACCAGTTATGGGTAGCTTGAGACCCTTGAAAAGTGCTGCCAATTCCAAAGAGGTCTCCTCAGGAGGAGGCCCGGGTCTCATGCCTTGTGTAGGCTTGAAGAGCCACACTGCTAGTGTCCAAACACCATGGCTAGTTCTGTCCTCCACGCTGAAAATCAGGAAATAAATATGTGAATTAAGACAAAAGTGACACTTGGTCCTAAATCGTATGTATTAGTAAGATGGAGGCTTCAGACAGGACAAAAAGTTCCTAAATTTGGACTGTTTTTCCCTTCTCATCAGTAGTACAAGGGAAAAAAACCAGATGTGTACCATCTGAAAAGTAAGATTTGGAAGTCAGGTGGGGAAATGAAGAACTGCTCTTTGCTTGCGCTTCTGTGCCTGAGGTAGAGCGCGACACGGTTTAAGGGCCTCCTGCCGTGTGCTCCAGCATTGAGCAGCCTGCCGGCTGCTGTTGCCAGGGGCGGCCCGCAGGGCACTTTCCATCCCCTGGGCTACTAGGCTGTTCTACCCTGTGTGTTAGGCGACAGAAAAGATGGCCAGGAAGCAGAGTTGCAACATGAAAAAGAGCCCAGAAGAGACTGTCTGGTCATTAATTATAAAACTAATTCTGATGAGGCCCACAGGGACAGAACGGAGCCACTGTGCTCAGGGACACGCTGACACGGACCCAGAGGCCAGGAGGGCAGCACTCGGTCTCTGGCCCACAGGCACTGATGAGGTCAGAGAGGCGTTTGCCTATGGCCTGGGGTAGGTTTCCCGTCTCCGAAATACAGACTCATCATTTGCAGCCTGGCCAATTTCCAGGTCTTCTTGGTAGAGGAGATACCTTGTGTGGAGGAGGCAAATGGCTCTTGAGATCCTCCTGCTGGGCTGCTCTAGCAAGTCACGTGGTCCAAGCCCCAAAGGGCTTGCTACTTTGGGTGACTCATTCTGCCACCCCAGAAAACCTGCAAGATGGACTCTGTGTCCTCAGGTTGATATGGGGCAAGGACCAGAAGTGGCGAGGGTGTGTGAGGGGGGTCGCACTCAGGCCTACTGTCCGCGTGGGACGCGCATCGGGCTAACAGGTTAGTGTGCAGCTTCCACACACCGGTGCTCTGCAGACCCTAGCAGAATGTGATGGCGTGCATCCAGTCCACGTGAATAACAGCTTTATTTTCTGATTTTCAGTATCAGGTAAGCTGTAGTATTTGTTTCTAGAATTAAAAAAAAAAAAAAATTCTAGAATGAAGCCAAATTTTAGCCAGCCCTTTGTGTTTTATCAATCATCATGAGGTTGATACTTAAGGATAAACCCATATTTATCAGGGCAAAGAACTCTTAGCTCTGGGTTAGTTATTATGCTCCTAATTCCAAGGGTGTTTCTGAGTTCAGAATGTGCTTCACCAGAAATATCTGATTATGAAATAGTAATAATCTGCTGTACAGTTCAATTGTGTGTCTCAGAGGGTATATATAGGGTAAATGGTTCTTCTCATCTTAAAAAAATTTTTTTCTTTTTGCCAGCGAAGCAAAATACCATTCAGAGAAGCCTTTTTTTTTTTTTTTTTCTCCGAATGCCTTCTGGGCAGGTTTGGCTGGCTTGAGTTCTGGGGATTGAACCCCAGCAACCTGAGCCTGACTGCTTTGCTGAAGCAGGCACTTAAAGAGCTGAGCTAAAGGGCAGGCCCCCAAGAAGCTTATTTTTAAAAGGATTTATTTGGGTGGCAGTGAACTGCAAACTAAAGGAGATTTTAAAAAAACATTAATAAACCAACAGATTGGCTGTAGATTATTATATGCAGTCAGAAAGGAGGTATTGTAACTTTCTACATATTTTATGATTAATCTAAAACTGCATGAATTATAATGTGGTAAAGAGACAAGCTGAGTAAAACAAATTTATGCAGTGTGAGCAGTTTGCTGTGGCATATGGTAACTCATTAGGTCAGGGCTGCGTGGTGCGCACCAGGCTGAAAGAACTCGTCCTGGTCAGAAACAGCCCACCTGAGCTTGGCCCTGCTGGGCAGCTGGGTTAGTAACATGAGGAGCTGGCTTTCTGTCTGCAAAGGGAGCGGGTGAAGGCAATCTAGAAGGGCAAAGAAGGGTCCTGGAGGTTTGCAGCCAGCAAGGGCAGACAGCAGACAGAAGCACTGTGAGTGAGCTGTCCCTACCCCCAGTCCACGTGGAGCCTTGTGCCCATGACAGAAGCTACAGGGATTCTTGATGCTTGCTTGTTTGGGTTTTAAAGTCAGTTTCAAGTCTTAGGCTGTCAAATCACAGCTTTGCAGCATATTGTGCATGTACCCTTCTTCATGAAGTGAGAGACACAGTCTCGGTTGTGGAAATTCCTCCTGGTTCTGACAGCTAAAAAATTATTTAGGATGAAATCTTAGAGCAGCAGATAGTTTTTACCTAAATCATATTATAAGAATATTTTTGTCTTGTTTATTTATTTATTTATCCATGTTGAGTTAAATTAATTAAATATTGTTCAAAGGCAGCAAATAACGATGCATTAGAAGTAATACTGGAGTTGAATGAATTTCCAAATCAAAAGACTTCACAAGATCAGTATTTCTCTAACAACAAAGAAACTTTTAATAAATACGATCCAAGTTTAATAATTTTCCTTAATTTCTTTTTTTTTCCTTAGAGAAAAGAATATGCTACAAGTCTTCGTTCTGCTGTTACTATGTGCTGTGTCTTTTTCATGAAACAGGATAAATTTCTCATCCCAAAAGTGCTCACAGAGACATCCATGAGAAGACAGGACTATGTATTGATGGTTCAAATGGTCTCAGATGGCGGAAGGACTGTCTTTCAATGGTTTAGGGTCCCTTAGGATGGGCTTTAGAAAGTCACTCAGTTTTGCATCCTTCTGCTAGTGAAAGTCAATGTTTTTTATGTTTTGTTTAACTCAAGGCAACAGTTTTGGGAAAATTTAAATCAATCAAGGAGAGCAACATTTTCAAATTTTAAAGACTTCAATAGTATGAGAGCAAGTTTAGAAAACATTTTTATTAGACAAATTATGTAGACAAATTATACACAGAAAGCTCTGCCACTCATAACTGAGGCCTCCAAAAATGTTTTGTGTATTTGTATAATAGGCAATACATCAAAATAAGCCTATTTTAAATATTATACATGGTTAAGTTTGTTGATAGCTAAAATCACTGCAACATCTGGTATGTCCCTACGCAGCTTGTTGTAAAGATTTTTTTTTGTTTTGTTTTGTTTTAAAATCAGAGTTATGAATGAGATCATGAATGTTACAAGGGAAAACAAGTTGTGCATGCACTTAGGTACTTGTTACCCTGGAAACAAAATGTTTTTTGCAGGATAAGAAATTTTTCTGCCTTACACAGTAGACAATATTTGAAGATTTAGTACAAAACAGTGACAGTACAAGATGCTCCCCAGAACAGAATTAGCATCAAAATATAATAGACCTTAAGAATATACCTCTTAATTTCTCCTAAAGCAAATCACATAGGTTGATTCCTACATCAGTCTTAGCCATGGAATGAATTAGATTAAAATAAGTGTATGGCTGCATCAAACACAAGATAAGTTCTGGTTCCTACTCATCACACTTTAAGGATTACAAAGGAAGTTCAACCTACATTTCTAACAGATAAGAATGCTACTTTAAAAGGGTTGTGCACAAAGAGGCACTGTTCTCCTTGTCATTCTTCTATACACTTGGCATTAATGTAAAAATACATAACTCCTCCAATAGAACTGGATAAAAAGGAGGTTCAGAGGAGAGCCCAGTATGGGTGTTACGTATTTTTCTCCAGGATGACACATGATATAATTAAGGCCACATCAATCCATCTCCCTCCTCCCCACCTGCAGGTGGTGCACTCATTGGCTCACTGCCTTGGAGGAGGACTTGCAGCCTTCGAGGAGGTTCTGGCTGGAAACTCTTCTAGGGCTCTACGCGCTGCAGAGGAGGTGACCCAACCAATAGCATTTGCCATTTAGATAATTAATGAAAAGTCAAATTATCAAGGTTAGCTTTATACACTGCTGAATAACAAATGAAGAAACTACTCAAATGAGTTACATCTGGGAACAAATATTAAGTCGCCCTGGATGTTTTAATAACAAAAGTATAAAATATTCTCTGTTGGCAAACAATGTGCGTCAGAATAACATTAAAGCAACCTGCCTTTTCTAACTGAAAAGACCTCTGGCACTATACATAGCTCCTGTATACAATACTTTTTTTTTTTAAACTAAAGCTTTATTAAATGAATTGCAATAGCAATGGCTGCCTTTTTATATATATACACATCATATAAGTGCATATATATGTATATATATATGAGATACTAAGTTATTTAACACAATAGAGGCTTCCGCCCTATGATAAAGTTTACTGTACATAAGAAAAACTTTTAATACTGTACAATCTCATAAAGGTCATATGCACTGTTGCAGTGCAAGAGTAGTTGTAGCTGTAGTCTTGACTGGCATATTAATGGCTTTTTTGTAATCCTAGAAAATTGCATTCCCATATTCTGTGGCCTGAATGGTCTCTGAATTGTTTTACAAACTCTGCAGGGTTGCCTTTGGTCCACAGTTAAAGGACACTCAACAGCAGTGGAGCGTTTTATGGATGCAGCAGGAGAATGTAAAAAGACTGAAGTTATTGCAATTATATTTTTAAAAATAGAGAAACATTATGTAAGAGGCCTTTATGTAAAATTAATCCTGCATATACTCTTAGTACTCAGTGCACATTTCCTAGACTCGAAGTACAGTATATGAAAAGCAGACTAATAGGATCCTAGTATACTATATTCTGGGGGAACACATTGAGTAATGAAAAAAAATGGAGGAAAATTTATGAGAAGGGAGAGGAGAAAGAGAGAGAGAGCTAGGGGAAGGAGGGAGAAGGTGGGAGAAGGAACTAGAATTGTTACTAATAATCCTGATTTTTAAAAAGTTACATCCATGTTAGTCCCACAATATTATAGCCGCTCCTGGCCGAGGGAGTCCTAAGAAGAAACAGTGTCGAGACTTTGTTTGCTGCTCATATGGAGGTGCCTCGGTCGGGGTCGTTCCCCAGATTGAGCCCCAGGGTGGGAGTTGGTTGGTAAGGAATGGATGACATTGTTTTGATAGGACTTCTGAAGAAGCCCCCATTGGGTGCCCTGTGCCTAAACGGGCCAGTTCGGTGCTCAGGCACGTTGCCAAAAGCGAAACCAGAGGCAGCTTTAGCGGACAGTGTGCGGCTGAGAGTCTGGATCTGCTCTGGGATAAAGGTTGTGGTGGTGATGTGAGTGTTCCTGAAATCACTGATCTGCTCCAGTGCTTGGCGTGTTGGCAAGGTGTCAATGTCCAGAGGGGTCAAGTCAATTGACGAGGTGGAAAACTGTTTATGGGGGCTGTCGTCATCTGTGCACAAGCTATTTACACGTCTATGGAGGTGCTCCAGGTCAATTTCCTTGTCATCCTGGAGATGAAGAAAAAGAAAATAAGGTTCTCATCAGTACTGGCTTCCATGGTAGGAAAAAGTAGTTCAGCAAACATGTAATGAACTGAACTGTGGAGTTTGTTCACTTAACAAATATTTACTGAGCACCTAATAGGAGCCAGGCACTGTAATAGCTTCTGGGAACACCGGTGTGATTGGGAAATAAAGCGACCTGTGATAGCTGTTTTCCTTGGGGTGAAAGGTCTACCGTGCGCAAGTGTCACAGGCAACCAGATTGATGGGACAGCGGTAGGCAAACAGTCACCATCCCAGGGAGAATAGTGCAAATAAAGCCCTGTGATCATTGCAGCCCTCCCAGCCCCCTCCACCTCTTTTTATTTCTCATTTCTTCTTTTGTTTTCCAGAATCTCATTCCAAGTTACACTTTCATTCTTTTCTACTACTTACTCCTCCCATTTCTGTCCTTAGAGGAAAAAGATAGGCTGTACTATGTCACACAAACACGTAAGCATCTATTAAAGAGCTGTTTCTTGTGGATTAGAGAGCTATGCGAGCTTTTATTTTTTAGAAACAGAATGAGTCACACAAGAGAATTAATCTCTAATCAAGAAATGTCATGTGCATCCAGTATCTGGAATGTGAATCAGGTGATGTGCGAGGTGACCAGGACACTTAGTCCTTCAAGTCCAGACACGTGATTGGTAGCTTTAATTTAGGACCAGGATTATGTTAGGTGGCTCTGAACCAAAGTTGTTTTAAACTGTGTTAATGATGGTTTTGGAAAATGTGCTTAACATACAGAAGGAGGATAAAACCTCAGATTTTAGGAGATGAAACCTACTCATAAATCTCTTAAGGTTTTCTGAGTATTAAAACATAGTATCTAAAAAATAAAATCACAATACCTGAAAAATTAGAACTGGAGAGATGCAAAGCTGTCCTCGTTATCCCTCTTATTTGTAACCAAACTCAGTGAATTAAATGAATTAAATGTATGAGGATTTAAATATATCTATTAATCATAAGAGGAGAGAATGCTCTTCATGGGGTCTGGATTAGTTGTCGTGAGTTAGAATGGGGTAAGTGTATTTTTCATTGTTATTAGAGGGATCCTCAGAGAAAAATATTTTGCTGTGCATCACTGTTTTTCCTTCTCCTTTCTCATTTTAAAATCCAATAAAAATATCCATTAATGTAGTATTATCACTATGACTTTAGGAGCTCGAGACATATAATTTTATGGTTCCCACAGCAACTGTAACATAGTCATCCATCAACAGATATAATAACACAAAAATTTAATATTATATATAGTAATTGAGAATATAAGGAGCACCGGGAGTGGTTAATTTCCAGATTTTTGAGGACAGGCAGCCTCAGCTCTAATGTTGCATTAATGGGGTCTTTGGCATTGAATCAGCATCAACAGAGATCCCAGAAGCTTATTCAACAAAGAAAAACACTATAATAAAACCAGGTTAATTTTTAATTCACCCTCCACTTATTTAGAATGTATGATCGTTCACACAAGGTAACGAGTCACATTTATCTTTGCTAAAACCACACTTTCCTTAGAAATGGTGTCGATCAGTTTTTCTTATAAAGAAAGAACCCTTATGCTACTTTAGAAAACAATCTGCTAAGAAGAATAGATTAATATGTAAAAATGCATATGCAAATAAAAAGTCATTTTTATTTGTGCATTACGGCACAAGTTCTCAGGATTTGCCCTAGGCAGCAGTGAGCCAAGTTCCACTTACAGAAGGTTTAGTTCTTGTTTTGAAACTGTGCATCAAATTTCTGAACAATTTCAGGTTGTTTTTCATTTCAACTTCAGAAACTGTAGTGAAACCAACTTAAGTATTTAAAAAGTTTCATAACTTTTGCCGAGTGAAAATAAGGTAAATGAGTCAAGTAGTTTATTTTAGCTTCGTATTTTCTTTATCACCACAAAATTTGTGGCAAAAGCAAGACGCATAACACTTTAAAAGAGATGCTGTGTGTGATTCTGCAATTTTTCCTTGAGATGTTTAGAAAGCAACTAACATGTTCCAGAAGTCAATCTGACTCATGGTAAAGGGGAAAAATGGCATTGTGGACGATTCTCTCATGTGTTTGCTAAGTGTGGGATAACTCCAGATCTACACATAGAGAGGGATACAGTTACTAGTGTTGAAAATAAGATTCTGCTTATTTTTATTGTAATATTGCAGTTCTAAGGCCTAGTGTTAGTGACACAAGTATTTATTTACAAGTTAAATGAATAATTGTGGTGGTAAGCACCTTTCATGAATTGGTCAAGGAAACTGTGGCCCTTAAAAATCATTGAATTTATCCTGAGATTTGAGAGAATTTCAAAGTCAACTGTGGTCCATAAAATCAACAGTCTTTCTAATACTGTGGCCTGCTCATCCCTTCTCTGGCAGGAGCTACTCTGGACCTTGGCATTGGTCTTATGAATCTTTGCTTGCCATAAATTCACTTTTGATTCTCAAAGAAAGAAGACATAAAGGCTGCCACAATTCCATCTTCCCACCCTGCCTGGACATGGGGCCTGATTGTGGGTTTGAGTACCTCTTTGGATGGGACGCGTGAGCCCTTCCTCTTGTTCCACCATGTCTCCAGCATGGCTATGAGGCAGGAGAGGACGATGCCTGCAGCCAGGATGCAGAAAACCCCAGCAAAACTCTTGATGTCCAGGGCGCCTCCTTTCTGCTTTGTGTCCACTGAGGAGTACAGGTCACACTGGCCATTCTTGGGCCACCATTTGTGCTTCAGGATGTCCATGTCACCACTCTGCTGAAGCTCCAGGATCCTTAGAGGCAAGAACACAACCGCATGTTACTGTAGACGTGGCCACTGCCATGGCCCGTGCCACCTCTGATGAGAACCCCACCTCCACAGGACGATGCTGCTGGAGGTAACGAGTCTCCAGATTTGCTTTTCAGGAAATGACTTGCAAACTAAAAACATCAGTGCTTTTGACTCCATAGATGGAGCTGTGGCACAAGGCTTTTTCCCCCCAGTTTTTTAAATCCCTCCCTTCCACTTTCCTTCTTCCTTCCTTTACTTTCTCCTCTTCATTTGCTTTCATTCTATAATTCTAGTTATTTTTCCCTGGTTCCTGGCAATGTGTGTTCACAATTACATTTCAGAGCCCTTATTTTGATGTGGTTTCAAGCTGCTGCAGTTTTGTTCCTTCCCTAAAAACAGAATGATCCCCTGGATTGTAATGCTTTTATGAAGAACGTTTCGCTGCTTAGAGCAAGACGCTGGCATAATGTCACCCGGCATATGGTACACACACAGAAATTCAATTAAAAAGACTTCTATTATTTAACACAGTGTGGGAGAAAGCCTTGGGACAAGTTTGAAGTTGATAAAAATACATCATTTTTGGTTTTTCGCACAACTGATCTAGTTTTCTTTTTAATGCCAAAGGCGAAGTAATCTTACCTTGGAGAATAAGGGGAAAAACTGACCAGAGGCGTGCAGAAGTCATTAAATTCAAGCAAGAATCACCCTTCCTCTCCACTCCCTGTCCCAACCCCAGAGTGTGAGAATGGCTGAAAAGACCACAGCTGCATAAATTGAGGAGTTTTAGAGGAATTATTTTCACTTCCATTCTACCTGAGACCTGCCTGTCTGTTGTCTTCCAGCGATGCCTCTTGTTATTGGCCAGGAGTATGTCCTGTTCAGAGGTGCATGTCTTCAGCTTTCCTGGGACTTCCTGGACTAACAGTGTAGTGCTCTTCTGGGCAAGTAAGCCTCTTCCTGGGGATGTGATCCCCTGAAGCCCTGGGGATTGAACCCAGGGTCTCAGCATGGAGTGATATCCCCAGACCTTGTTTTTTTTTTTTTAATTTTTATTTTTTAAAGAGAGTACAAAATAGTATTAAAGCAGAAAAATTACAAAGGATACATGCTTTCACTAAATAAAATAATATGAATTTCACAATATTTGTTATATTGCATAGCGTTGTCTTCAAATAATTGTTCATAATTACCAGATATGTGCATGCAAAATTGGAGAAAAGAAAAATAAGAAATATGTAAGAAATTAAGAATGAGAAAGGTGAAAGAATTAAAAGGAGTTAAAACAAATCATGTACCAACTGCTCCTTTCCATAGATCAGCAGAAATCCACAGTACCATTGTCCAAACCATCCTGCTTACACACATGGATATATATCTTTCCCCTATTCCCTCCCCTGTCCTCTTCAACTCAATAATTCTTTTCTTTTGAACAGGATAATTTCCTTTTCTCAGTATCTGTTGTACCCCTCAGATTCCATTTTCTCTTTCAGGTTCTCACACTAAGGAGACAATACGATGTTTGCAGGTATGGGTCTGACTTATTTCACTTAAGAGTATGGTCTCTAGTTGCATCCATTTATTGATAAAAAGCCTCAAATTTACCTCTTTTTATAGTTGACTGATACCTTATTGTGTAAAAATATTACATCTTCCTCATACATTCCTCAGATGATGGGCATCTGGGTTGTTTCCAAGATATAGCTATGACAAATTTCACTGCTATAAACATGGGTGCACATGTATCACTGTAGTACGATGTTTTCAAGTCTTCTGGAAAAATACACAGGAGAGGAATAGCTAGCTTATGGACCTCCAGGCCTAGATTTTTGAGGAATCTCCACACCGGTCTGCACAATGCATGTACCAGTCTGCACTCCCACCCAGCCCACGTTTATAAATATCCTTCCGACCACATCTTGCTAAGATGCTGTTACTTGGACTGGACTTTCATGTTGCAACTAGGGGTCCTGGTCACCTTTTCTGTCCCCTATGACATAGGATATAACAACACATAGTAGTCCAGTGAATGGAAAGTGTTCTACATGCTGCCCATGGTAACATCAGGCTCCCCACCTACCATGTTTCCTGATGATTGTCCTTCCAGTCAGTAGAGTACTACAAAGTGGTGTTTGAAGAGTGTGGACAGAGTGTAGGTATTGAGTGCAGGCACACACACCCTGGTGTGGAAGACCCTTTCCTGTGCACGATTGGGTATGTCAGGGACCCAAGAAGCTGGGTCCCTGTGCCCGCAAATAAGGCAGAGGCCTGACTACTCCCAAATGAGACAGTTGAGCCTGACTTCCTAGGGCCATGGAAGTGTATTTATCAAGATGAGCACTGTTGTGGTGTGTGTTTAGTTTTTCCTCCTAAATATGGTGCAGTCATGGGGCGGTGGTGGTGGTGAGTTTTCAGAGGTAACTGAGAGAATGAGATGCTGGGATCAAGGGTGTGGGAAGGCCAGATCAGTCCACTGCTTTGTTTGGCATAGTTCTGGTTAGGGATTAAGGGTGTGAGTGCTAACATCTGCGCTGGGTGAGTGGCCTGTGTACAATGTACAAGCATGCAGCATAAGGGACAGAAAGGTGTGTTCTTCTTTCTCTTGTTGCTTTTATGATCCAGCGGGTGCCATAAACTGTCCTCCTCTGTGATGTCCCTCCATGAAGACACCATACCTTAGAGCCAGCTGACAATGTCAACTGAAACCACTACAAACTGTGTGCCAATAAACTTCTCCTCCTCTAACTCTGGGTGTTGGGTGTTTAGCCTCAGCAAGGGGAGAGAAGCAATGAAGACAAGCACACAGGAGTTTTTAGCTTGATTTGTAATTTTCACATAATTAGAGGTAGGACATATAGTTCTACATGGGTACCCTTGCCTTGGGTCTTGGATTCTTTGAGGGTGAGAACTTAAAAGTTTAGACAGAAGAATAAAACCTAGCTGGGGGGAGTGCATGACTCATTTTTGGTGGTGGATGGCCTCTTCACTTGTTTCGTGTCATGCACATGGCTGGAAGAATGAACAGAATAAGGAAGAGATTTTACACCTGGGGTGGGGCTGACACTGAGTTCAGAACAGTGGGGACTGATGGAGGCTACGACAGAGTTGGCCTCAGCTTCGGGAAGAAGGTGTCCTGGAGCCCTTTCCCCAGCCTGGCAGTTCCTCTTGTTGCTGCTGCTGCTGCTGCATCCTCCTATTCTTCTTCCGTCTCCTCTTTCCTGCTGCTTCTCCTTCCTTCTCCTTATTTTCTCTCTCTCTTCCTCTCCCTATGTCTTTTTCTGTCTCTTTTTCTCTCTGGTGACTGCATCAAGGACTTGTGCACTAAGCTACATCCCCAGTCCTTTTTAAAACTTGTTTTTTAATCTTTTGAATGCAAATATGCAAGGCATATCCTCTTTTACTGAGCCATATTGCTGGCCTTTTAAAGCAAAACAAAACAAAACAAGGCAAGGCAAGGCAAAGCAAAGCACAGCATAGCAAAACAAAACAATATAGACACTGAGTTTCACTAAATTGTTAAGCTGCCCAGGATGGGCTTGAAGTTAAAGTCCTGCTGCCCCAGCCTCCTAGAGTGCTGGAATTACATCCCAGGCCAGCTAGCCTCACTTCAGAGAAACTAAACTTTCTAATGTTGCTTCAGAGCGCTGCTCTAATATGGCAGTTAGTTAATAAAATTTTCTAGACTGATTATGAATAATGAGGATTTGCATGCCATCCACACTCTAGGGTATATCCAAGATAAATTCATCTTTATCTCCAGACTTTGCTAAAATGTATTCCAGCGCATTGGTATCCAGAGGGTCTCTGCAAGCAAAAGGCCCTTGGTCAGTCACTGAGCTGGAGAAACATGCTCTCGCAAACCGACAAGGAGGTTAGTCTGCTCAGTCTCTGAGAAGATCTGAAGAAAAGAAAATCTGCCTTTCCCAGATGGAATTTAATTCCCTTCCCTCATTTTGTCCGTAAGTAATGTGTTGATAACCTGTGAAGACTGGCGGAGCATGCTTGTGGAATAACGCTTTGCTGTATAAAAGCAACTACTTGTGGGAATTCCTGGCACTGTGTTGGGATCATACAAACATGCAATCGTAGGCTCAGAGTTACTCATTGGGCTTGGCCTTCACACTATGGAAGTGATGCCTGCACTGGTAATGAGTTGACATGAAATTTCAGTTATGATAAGTACATTCTAGAGAGCTGCAGATAGCTAAAAATACTGTATAATACCCTTAACATTTCGTGATGGTTAGATGGGAGCTAGCTCATATTAAGATAATAATAGTAGTAACATATTGGCAAATCATGTAGATGTTTTCCTATCTATAGGCACAAGATAGTCACTGAGTATCTTGAAGAAAAAACTTAGTCATCTTTAAACAAATAATTCTTTTTGAGTTTCTGAGTCCATGTCAACGTGAAGGGAAAGTGCAGCCAGACTTGCTTAGTGAGAATGAGTTGCTCTTCGCCATCACAGGGCGCTGGTTCCACAATTCTGCTCAACTTCTTTCTATAAATAGTATATTACTTGCATGTAAGTTCTGCCTATCCTCACTCTACTTTTAATTATCTCTAGATATATAATACTTATATGGGTTCAACACTATACACGAAAGGCACTCAAAATATACAAGAAATGTTTAAATTAAAAATATTTAATACAGTAAGAGACATTGCCATTAATTCCTCTTAAACTCCCCCCTTCATTTGGAAAACACTTATCCCATGGTTCTTGCCACTATTTTTAAAGATCTATCTATCTATCTATCTATCTATCTATCTATCTATCTATCTATCTATCTATCTGGTACAGGATCTCGCTACAAAGCTCAGACTCTTAGTAGTCCTGCTGTCGCCACCTGCCCCACACTGGGATTACAGCCGAGCACCAACACACTTGGTTTCAGTGGCCAGTGCGGCGTGGATCCCGCACAGCATGCGGTTCCAGATGTCGAACTCAGGTTCTTGCACTAGACAGGCAGGCGCTTAGACTGCCGACCTATCTCC